AAGCTTGCTCGAGCTGCTAACCGTTTAGTAACCGCCCCCAAAATGTCGCATGGACTTTTACCTTGTGCGGTTTCAAAAAATGTCACTCAGCCTTTATCCCAAAATCATTTTCATGATTGTAGAGATTAATGAAATCTTTTATTTTTATATTGGTTACTGCTACATAGGGCTGGGAACCAATAGTAAAAACCCAATATTAACAAAATATTGAATTGGTATTGGGTCTAAAATATTGGTATTGGTTTAAACAATATTTTCTATTTCTTGTATTGGTTTATATTGGTAACTATTGGTTTATATTGGTATTGGTTTAAATTCAAATTACTAATTAAAAGAATAGAAATAGTGATTATAAAACCCTTAATTTCTAATTTTAAATAAACATGAAAAAAAATCATGATACCATAAAATTAGGGCTAAGAACCAACTCTCAAAATTTTATTGAATTCAAATTCTTTTTTTAAACTAGGAATTTATTAGGTGATGTGAATATAAAAAATTTTGATATAATCATGTATTTTTTGTATCAACAATAATAAACGTATTGATTTTGAACCATTTTATTTATCACAAAGAACATAGCAAAATAAGTAAACTAAAAATGTAACATAACCGTCTATTTATACAATATAATGCAAAAGAATGATATAATTTTAATATAAGAAGAGGAAATAATTTTATGTATTTAAGAAGAATCTTGCATGCGCATCCAACTTTTTAGGCACAGGCAAGCTTGTATAGTATGCTCATCTAGTGAACAACGTTGGTCTGTTATAACATACCGTCCTTCTGAAAAAGCCCTTTCAGAGCTAGATGAGGTGGCCGGAATTGCTAGATAATCTCTGGCAATTTTTGATAATACTGGATATCTATATTTATTTAATTTCCACCAATCTAATGGATTTGTATCATTGGAAATTGTGGCTTCATCTACGTATTTATTTATTTCTAAGTTGTTATTATTATGAGGTTTCACCTGATAAATTTTGTCATAAAAGGATAATTTTTTGTTATTTTGTGCTTCATTTGTAAGTTCCGCTGAATTGTTATTATTTATTTTATAAATATTGTATTCATTAGTAAGATATCCAATAAGAGTTTCAATATTATTATGCTTTAATAAATGACTTGATAGTTTAAATCTTGGGTCAATCATTGTTGAAATAATAAAGAGGTGTTTATTATAATTATAGTATTTATTAAGTTTTGTTAAGGCAGCTAAAGAAGGTGTCTTTAAAATAGCATTGGGATTATTATTATAACTCTCCACATGCTCAAAAATACTGGAATATAAAGGAATAATTGTTGAAATTGTTGGAGTATTAGCACATGAGGCCATCTCTGTAGCAAAATTAAATGGTTCCAGAAATTCTCGGTATATTTCTATATTATTCCAGGCTAAGGCACTAATATAATTTTCTTGATTGGTATTTTGTAAATGATTGGTATATGTTGTCAAATAAGGTTTGAGCAATATTGCTCTTTCAAGCATTTGGTATGTTGAATTCCAACGTGTTGGTATATCCAAAATTGGGTGAGGAAATTTTAAGTGTGGATTTTTTTCAAGATATATTTTTTCGAGTTTATTAAATTTAGATATAGAAAGTTTAAAAATTTTTTAAAAATTTCTTATTTTTTTTAAAGTTGTATTTAAGGGTTCCAATGCAGCCATGACAGCCAAATGTATAATATGGCAAAAGCATTTGCACACATTATCAAAATTATCTTTTTGTTTTAAAATTTTTAGAAATGCTAAATTATTACTTGCATTGTCTAATGTAATGCAAAAAAAATCAATTTCAAATTTTACTTTTAATACAGAATTAAAAATATTAATAGAATTATGTGCCGATTTAAAAGGAATAAAATCTAATAAATGATTATTTAATTTAAAATCATTATCAATATAATGAATTGTTATGCCCATAAAGGGTATTTTATTTGGAGAGGACCAAATGTCCATTATTAAGGAAAATTTAGATGTAATGTTAGAAAGTACAGATTTTAAATTGATAAAAGAACTATGATAATGTTTCAAAATTTCTATTTTTAGTGTTTTTCTAGAAACTAATGTTAGTGAAGGGTTATAATATGCTATTAAATTTTTAAAAGTGATATCCTCAACTATTGAAAAGGCTAAATTATTTTGAATGAAAAAGTTTATAATTAAATTATTTAAATTAGCTTTATTATTTATATTATTAAGTAAAAATGATTTTATTGTCTTAATTTTTTACTGCCAATATTTATTTGCTCACATTTCTTATATATTGTTGGGTGGATGGATTTAAGATGTGTCCATAATCCTAAGGTTCCAAAATTGGGAAGTGATATTTTTTTAACATTTATTACAAATTGCTATAAAATTCCCAGATTTTTACTGAATTTCGTCTTTTATTAGATATTGATAATTCTTCTTGTTCCTTATCGCTATTATTATTAGTACCAACAGCATCTATATTTATTAACTCTATTTGGTCTTCATTTATTATAATATCCTAAATAAATAGATAAAATTGATAGATATCATGTAAAAAATTTATTTCCATAATAAAAATAAATTATAATTATAAATAACAGAAATATTGATATCACAGTAGTATTTGGAAGAAATAACAGATGTAATCAGTTTTTGGAATGAAAGTAAAAAAAATACCACGATATAATTATCCACGATAAACCCAAATAATTATGTTATTTTTAATATTGGTATTGGTTAAAATTGTATTTAAACAATATATCAAAACCAATATATTTAGGTAATTGGTATTGGTTGTAAAAGCAATACCAATATTTAAATATATATTGGTTTATATTGGTATTGTAAACCAATATTATATTGGTATTGGTCCCACCCCTACTGCTACATCAGAAAAATAATAAATTTAAACCACTCTATTAAATCTTTCCTTCAGATTTTTTTTCCGGGGATATTTTTTCCTATATTGTTAATTTTATAAAAATAATTTAATATTTTATAGGATTTAAACAATGGGGAATTTTTTTACGAGGAAATTTTTCCCGGGGAATTATTTTCCGGGGATTTTTTTTCCGGAGAATTATTTTCCTGGGGATTTTTTTTCCGGGGAGTAATCTTCCGGGGAATTTTTTTCCTAGATTCAGCGTAAGCAATGCATTGAATTATTAGTTTTTTTTATTTTTTTCATCAATATAAGTTTTAAAAACATGTATATGCTCCACAAAACTTATTAATTTCGTATCCTATCCCCTATCCCATCCTATCTTTTATTTACTCTATTTTTCAGATTGAATGTAGTAATGAGAATATTTATAACTTCCTTATTTATTTATTTATTCATTTAATATCAAATATATATTTTGGTAATATTTCTCCTTATTTTTTTTTATTTAGTCAAAATGTATGCTGTGTTAAAAAAAGCTATTAACTCTATAATCTTGAACAAATTACAATTACTCAAACCTCCTGGAACCAGTTCACTTATCCCTGTCTGTTGGGGGCTCACAAACTTCTCCTTGGTTTAGAGGAAAATACCTTATTTAGGATTTCAGTTTTGTCTCCCAGTTCTAACCCAAACATCAATCCAATAATTACAGCCGAAAGGTCAAAAATTAGAAAGTACCACAACTTTTCAGATTATAACTTTACCCCAATAGTTATTTCTACCAAATGGGATCCTAAGCCCCCTAAGACTATCATTTTTTTAAGATTTCAGGTAAAAAAAATCTCTCAAATTAATGATGATCATGGACCTCTTTTAAAATATTAAAATAAGCTCAAATCGCATGTTCCAAGAAAACTATCTTAGTTTCTTCTAATCTAAATGAGAGCCTCTTTTGCCCCCTCCCCCATCTTATATATATTTTTTTAAGTGTAGTTTTTATATTTCTCAGTGACTTGCAAGCCCGGGCCAGGCCGTATTTTAACTTGTTTTTTAAATCCCAGGGCGAGTCCTGAAATTTTTTATAAAAATACCCGGGGGCCGTATATTTTAAAACCAAATAATTGAAATCATATTATTAGCTATAAAAATCAAAAATAAATATAATATACCTAGCCGGGCCTGAAAATATAAAACCCGGGCCAGGCCAAAAAATATCCGGACAAATGGAACTTCTTCAGGTCTCTGATATTTCTTGTTTTAAATTGTCTACACAATTTTAACAAAAAAAATGTAAAAAAGTAATTAAAAAAATCATGAACATGTTTAATTAATTAATTAATATAAACTATTTATACATTTGAAATGACCATTAAATTTAGGATATATAAAAATTTATGTTATTTTTTTTTAATTATTAACGTTTTTAATTTACTTCTAAAAGTAAACAATATATCGATTATAAACTGCAAATTTAATGATAATTCCAAATATATATAGATTTATTAATTAACTAATGCTCAATATTCAAATACTAAAAGTTTTTATCAACAAAGTTATTTTTTTGGATTATATATTTTGGCCAAATAAGAAAAAAATACAGTATATTTTATAGTGAAACACGTCAAAATATGTACAACGTTTAAGCGGTAAATATTTTGGCGCAACACTTTCTATAATTGAACATTTATAGTTTGTTTTGTATCAATTAACTAATATTAGAATATAAATGAGAAGGCTATTATAAGATTAAGCCACTCAAGTTGGGGGTAGGGCCTATCAGGACTGGCTTAAATTTTTAACAAAATATCAGAGCGGTCGGGCTAAAAATAAAACATGTTTTCAGCTTCTCATTTATTAAAAAAACACAGTTAAAATTTTCTCTGGGATTAGGACAAAGCAATTATTGAGTTTTCATTTTATTTTAACATTATAAATATGCGTAAAAAGATCCAGTCGAAGGCCGGTAAATATTGGATACGCAGCTCTAATTCCTAGCCAAGACTCAAATTATCTATAGCGTTAATGTGCCAAAAATTGGAAAAAAAAAATTGACAAAATTTATAAAACTTTCAAAAATAAATCCACTAATAATTTTTTTTAAAAATAATAAATTATAATAAAAATCTTAAAATGTACTTCGTCGTTATTAGGGTTCGTGGTTTGCCATTGATAGGATTTGTTAGATGTTCGATCCTAATTTGATATAATTATTTATTTTTTTTAATATTTGAATATGTTAAATTAATTATTTTCAACATTAAACTATATTATTCAGATCGCTTCAATTCAAACACTTCTTAGTAGTGAATTAATTAATTTTACTACACTTTAATATCAGTTTAATTAGATGCCCCACTCAATTATGTATATTATACTATTAGATTGGCAATTCATTTAAAAGTGAACATACATAGGTAACAACTTTAGCGTCATTTTGTGGTTCGTACGTCGATTAAATGACATTAATATGCATTCATATTATCATATAATTATAAATAAGACAATTGGTCGTTCGTGCAAACTATAAAATGGCGTTACAGTTAACTCCAATGTATTTACACTAATTAATGAATTGTCAATCTAGTAATACATACATCATTGGTGAAATAAATAATTATATTTAAGGTAGTTGTAATTTTGTTTAAGGTTTGTTAAAATCAGAGACATGGCAGCACCCATATTAAGCACTTTCCGAGATGTTTTTAAATTTTTTTTAAAAACGACCAATTGAAGATTAATTTATTTAAAATGTGTACCAATACAAATTAACTGGTGACTCGCCATTTTGGTTTCTCATATAAATAATAAAATTTTATGAAAACATTGGAGAAACTAAAATGGGGTGCCACCTGCTGATTTCTATTCAAAGGCGCTTCAAAATGCATCGTCAGTCCAGGTAAGATATGTCCAGTGGCCTGACCCTAACCAACTTTTTATGTTGTCAAGCCTAAACATGGGATTACAAAATTTCAATCATTTTTACAACTAAGCTCGGGTTTGAAAGCGAATAAATTACTAAGTGTTCAACATGCGATTTAAATCCTTTTTAGGCCCAGTTAGGATATTTCGAATCACACCAATTTAGGGCCCAGTTCGTATAGCCGGACCGGAATTCAGTTTTGGCTATTTTACTTTTAAAATAAAATATTTTACAAATTATATATTATTTATGAGGGTCATTCCATATCATATTAGACACCTTCTAGCCTCACATTTTAATTCTGATAAAAAAATTGTATAAATTTAATGGGTTGATCCTGCTCAGAGAAATGGAATTTGAACTAGTTAGCTTATTATATTACACGTGATAATAATGGTTTAAAGGTGTAAACAGTATGGATACAAGCCCAAAAATACATACCCCTCTAAAAAGAAGTAAATATTTATAAAATTTATTTCCCCCCCCCCTCCCACCAAATTGCATATTCAAAATATAATTTATGCCTTTATTGCAAAAAAGTGAAAAATTATTTTATAAAATAATAAGGTTTAGACTAATATATTGTAAATATATTGATTTAATTAGGTTAGAGTACTCCAAACTCAAACAAATAATAAAAAAAGGTTTAAGAATTTTAGCTTCATGGTGTTAATGTTAAACGAATAAATCAGTACAATCAAATTAAGTTTTGCCAAGTCACCGCCAGATAATCGCAACTTGGTAATTTTCATATTATATTACACTACGCGGCACTTGATTAAGTTATTTATTGACATTTCGGTTAAAATAGGGATACTATTTTTTTTTAATAGACTCTTAGCCCCCCCCCCCTAGGTATTTTAAAAGTTGACACTGAAAACTAATATTTGATTTATTACCCGCTGGATATCATCTAGTTTGAGAGATTCTTTATTATATCTTTCCTAATGAAGGAAAAAGAATTATACATTTATTATTCCTAATCTTAAAGACCATTGCCTGGACATTCAAACTACGGCGCAGGCGAATTTTATAAAGTTAGAAATATGATGTGTATTATATTTATATACGGCCATTTCCAGACAGAACGTTTTTTTTTTCAAAGTGATTTTCAAGGTTTAGATTTTATTAACGATTAAATGGCATCTGGGAGAGATTAGAATAAACTTTTTTCAAAAATATTTTTTTATGCAAAAAAATTAATTCGACAAATTATCATCCTTTGTTTGGAATAGCAGAAAACATGTGTGTTGCCCTAAAATCTAGAATAGATATTGAACGTAATGTAAAAAAAAATTAGGATATATTTGGCCAAAATCATAAAAATGTAAAAAAAAATAGAAAATATTTGGCCAAAATCACCAAAATGTAAAAAATAATATTGTTGATAAAAACTTCGAGTTTCTGAGCCAAGATTGTTATTAGATAATTGAGCATTTTAGTTAATAAATAAATATATATATTTACATATTTAGAATCCTAAATATATATCGATGATATATAATATTTCCTTAAAAAAATATTTCTTGCCCGATTAACAAGTTGCATCAAAAATCATTCCTTTGAGGTCCGACGAAAAATTGTTCCGATCGAACCGACTCAAAATCGAGATAACCGATTATATCCGAAAAAATAATTTCGCGTGCTTTGAAGTGGAGCCGAGTAGCGGCCCTAGCGAAAATAATCTGGCGTACTTTGAGGTTGGCAGAATCCAAAATATTTTTAAAAACGGGTTTAGTTCCGGTTAATAATCTTTAATAAATTTTATGTTAAAAAAAATATCGAGTGACATTACAGGAACCCGAACCAAACCCCGTTTATGTCTTTTCTGAATTCCAAACTGGTGTGGGTTCAACGTTTTGTTTCAAACCGAATTCATAGAATTAACGGGATAGACGCCTTAGTCCTAATTTTAAACGCTCTGCCAGATATATATAGTATATAAGTTTATAAACTCAGTTATTTTTGGTAAAATTTTATCATGATTATTGGATTTTAAGCATGACAGAACAAGTGTTTTCCATATAATTTGATACTCAATTTTGTTTTTTAAACATATCAGAGGCCTGTAGAGGTACCATTTGTACGGCTCGGCCCAGCCAGGATTTCTTTTTAATTAAAATTTTCGGCTCCGCTCTGGGTTTTATATTTCCAAGCCAGGCCCTGATTTTTTTTAAAATAAAATTTTTAAGCCCGATCAGGAGTTTTTTTAAGAAATATTTTATTTTATAACGAATTAAAATATACGGCCCGGCCTGGGTATTTTAAAAAAAATTTTTTTAGCTACGGCCCGGATATATTTAAAAAAATTAAAATATGGGTCTCTGATATATATAATTAAGTTCGTTATAAAGAAGACTGAGAATTCATTCGTTTTTCATTTAAAAAAATATCCAAAAATTTTAATCATTTTTTAATTAAAAAGCAGCTGTTTTTATTAAAAATCCATTAATGTATGTAAAATTCGAAGTTTTGAATGCGAGAAATTCATTCCCACTCCAAATTTAATTAATAATTATTAAGATTAAGAATTGAGGATAACAAATTAATTTATTAAAATATATAGTCACACTCAATAATCAATAAAGATAAAGAAAACTAAAGTTAAAAATATACTAAAACTATTAAGTAAAAATTCTAAAATACTATCAATAATAATTTAATATAATTTTTATTTTTAAATAGTACGTCGACCAAAAAAAAATTAGTAAAATGTTTATGTTCCACGTTGAAGAGTATTCGATTGGATCGAATAATATAAAAGTAATATATAATTGTGCAGTTGTCGAGATTGAAAAATAACTCAAAATTAGGCTAAGCGGATTAAAATAAAATTTTATTCAAATAAGTCATAAAAATAATTTAAAAAGGAGCCTGATTGTCGAATATTTAGATATTAGATAGAGAGAGGCTTTCAGAGTTTGACTCGATCTTGCCAATTTAAACCAATCTGATTTTTTGCGAAAAATTTAGCAAGGAATAGAATAAACTATATATACAAAAGATTTTTATTTTCGAATCCAATAATTATGAAAAAAATGTAAATTTCCACAAGATGTTAATTGCTTAAAAATAATTTCAAATATTTATTAACAAATATTTACAAATAATTTAAAAAGAACAATTTATCAACATTATTTAATCGTCGCTTTCCTACAAGACATATTTTTAGTAATTTATAATATATTGTATATAACCATATTCCAATCATAAACTTTAATATAATAAAAAATACTTGCATAAAAACGGAATTGGGGCTACAAATTCAAGATGAATAATTATATTTTAAAATGGTAATTTGAATATTTTGTTTTAAAAAAAGAAAATTACTAAAGTTCTGATGTAAGGGCTCTTATTTTATCGCCTATATTTTTTAAAAATTTTAAAGTTCCGCTTGACAAAAAATTAAATATTACACAATCATTAAAGGTAATGATTGCGAGAAAATTATATAAATGAATATGAAAGTTTTAAGTATTAAAAACTCTAAAATGTATTAATTTGAAAAATACCAGTTGCTATTTGCTTATATACTAGGTTTAATATATTTCTTTATATACTAAAAGAAATAACTTGATTGCAAAACTGTTAGAACTCATCCAAACTAGTTTTTTTAAAAAAATAGTTCTTAAACATAAGAATTTGGAAATTTTTATCAGGTACTATTTAATTTGTAATAAGAGGATTAAAAAAATATATCGCCTTTCCCGCGAGAGACAATTTACATTACGATGCTAGAGAAATCTGCGATTAAAATGTGATATGGGCGGCTATGAACGATCAAGAATTTCAATGTTACATTAAATTAAGCATAATCGTTGCAATTATAGTGCGATCTAATTGAGCGCTTTAGAAAAAAAAGCAAAATGCATTTGCTCAATTAGGTTGCATTATTACCCCTCATTCATAGTTAGCGCGACTTATTTAAAATAGCGCGAATTCGTGCTAACTGCTAATGCAGGGTTACGCATAGAAAAGTATGCTCTACTATTACTAGGTTATAATAATAAAAAATAATCTAATATCAAAGACATAATACTGATAAATTATTGTGAATTACTAAGTCATAAATATTTTGTTCAAATATTATCTGAGAGGTTTTTTCTAGAGTTGTTAAACGGCTCGATTTAAGCCGATTTTCAGAAACGGCTAACTCAATATTTTGGCTAAAAAAATATGGTATAAGCTTAGAGAATTCGTTAATAGATTTTCAAACCTTAGTGCCATCTATGAGCAAAATCTGTAGACTTGCATAATATTTGTCTGGATAAAA